AGTGTCTTAAAAATCAAATCGGTTTGTGGATTTTGGTTAAAAAAATAGTAAAAAATTGATAAGCAGAATTTGAAAGTGTTAACTGCGCTGCACAAATTTAAAGTTATAGTAAATTGTAAATTATTTTTTGGAAAAGATATCAGCAAAAATGAGTAAAAAGGATAAACTCAAATTTATGGTTTTAATTTGATTATAATGAATGCGAAAACCATGAATGAATGAATATGATTTAAAGTCAATTTTAATCGATTTAATTCAATGAAAACTTTCTCAAAAATAAATCTGAATAGATATAAAAAATATGGATTTAAATCGATTTTAAAATGATTTCATATTGAACTTTTCTGGTTTTTATTTGAGATCAAACAGTAAATTTGGAATCGATCCGATTCCTTTTTATTTGATCTTAGCTTTTTTCGATGCTAAAAATGATCCTCATCCAATTTTGTCAGTGTGGGATTGCATTTGTGTAAGATTTCGTCCGACTTTCGAATTTTTGACTTTTTGGTATTTTTTTAGGTTAATGAGAAAAATTAACATATAGAAAACTTTCATTTTGTCTCAAAATTTTATCCCTCGCAAAACTTCAGTCATAAAAAATGTTTATAAATGAACAACCATTCTTATTGTCATATTGGCTCAAAATTGGATTTTTTGTCGTTTTTCAATATAAAAACGTGACTAGAATATTAAATCAAAATGGGTGCAGATAAACACGAATTGTAACTCTAATTGACATAACCAAAACAGTAAAACCATGAAAAATGCAAAGTACAAAACTAATCAACTTAATGTTTTTTTATCTCGTAAAATTTCTGATCATAACCAAATTCAGTCACATTTGATCTTCTCTTTATTTATCTCAATTTTAAGCTAAAATCAATAAAATCCTATTTTTTAATGAAAATTTTTGGTGACTTGAAAAAATTCTCAATTACTTAGACGTCAATTGCGGTAAAAAAAATTATGCTCTATCGATCGTGGTTTTCACAATTTACAAAAGTTCTATCAAAAGCGAGAAAAACTTGTTCCTTTTTTTTCATTTTCTAGACTAAATTATACAAAAGTTGATGAGCGGCTGGCATCGCCCACTTTATATTGAACATTATTTGAGCGCCAAAATTCAACATTTTTTAAGATATGTTCTTCATCCTCTTTTTGCCAGTTTTTTTTTAAATCTTAAATTAGTCACCTTATTTAAAAAACGACTGCTCAGAAAAAAAACAAGAAAATGAAAATACATGTTTTTTGATGTTTTAATTGTAATCGGAACACTTTGTGCCTATTGTACAGCCTCCGGCTATCGTTGTTTTAAGTATAATGGAAAAATTGGTAGTATTTTTATAGATAATTGTTCAAAAGAAACAATCAACGCTCAAAATTCAATTATTGCATTAAATTTTTTTGCAGTTGCGTTATAAAGTTCAAACCTTTCATAGTCTGAAGAAAAATTAGTTCAGCTTAAAGACCTCTATTTTTTCAAATTAGCTGACCTTTTTTGATGTAACTGATAGTTATACGTTATAGGTATATGCAGAAAAAGAAAGGCATCTGCATTTAAGCGTTTATTGCTTTCAAGTTTAGAATTCCTTCATGCATTTAAAGCTGTGATGTCCACTGATGAAAGCTAGCTGACAACTTCAGGGATTCCGGAGATAAGAGGCCAGAAAAAGGAAAAATCGGAAAAATGGGGAAAAGTGGTGAAAACCGAGCCGACAGTAAAGGGGATTTTAAAGTTCAATAACCAAATATTACCCGGAGATAAAGTGATACAGACGATATACCAGTTGAGACTGACATTTAGACAAGATAAGGATATCTATATGGACAGGAGGAAAGTCTGCTGAAAATACAAGTTATTTTTCAAGTACAATTGCTCCATAGTCAAAAGAAGAAAAAATACATATTCAATGCAAGCATGTTGTGAGAGGAGAAAAGCTTCGGACGAGAAAACCAACAAGACTGCTCGTACCAGGGCAAAACCCGGAATGTTCCGAATGCCTTTTAAGGTCTATTGAGCAGTAGAATAATATGAAAAAATTAAATGTAATAAAATAAAATAAAACTTTTAAAAAAATTTTGAGTTTTTTGTAAAAACATCACCCACACGCCATATTAAGTACGCTCATATTAACAAATCAATTATGGCATATAAGCTTCCTTGAACCAATTTGGAACGATTTCTAAGGTTGATTAAATCTCTGCTTACGCGTTAATAGCGCGAAATATATCGCGCCTTAATTGTCCCAAATTAGCCAAAATGGCAATCTTTAAACCCCCATAACTTTACGAAAAATGATCACAGGTGAAATATCTTTTCAAATTTGAGCTCAAGACAACAATAGTTTTCGAATGATATAAAAAAACTCCGTCAAAAATGGCTATTTAAAAAGTTGAACTTTGTCTGAAGAAAAAAAACCCACCCCGAGCACAAATATTCCGTTACTTTCGTTACGAAAATCGGAACAAAAAATAATTGATCAATTTTTGAAAGAGCAACACCAAATTTACTCTAAGTTTGCTTAAACCAAAAAAATTTAATTGCGAATAGTGTTTTTTTTGCCTAGCATAAAAGCTTCAGCATTAAAAAAATGTTTCAACTAGATTCAAAAACTAAAATATTATGTTAATTTTTTGTCAAAATAAAATCATTATGAAAGAAATCATCTAAAGGGCAGTTTTTTCCCGCATTTCGTAATTTGCACAGCAATCAGTGCTCAGTTTAAGCCATTACATGTCCAAGTGAGACTGATCACTAATTATGTTTTTAGTAACTCAATTGTTTCGACTATTTTTGAAAACCATGACGGAATTTTTGTGCTCGGGGTGATTTTTCCTCAAGAAAAATGTCGGCGTTTTACCTCGCAATTGTGGCGATATTTTTTACCATTCGAAAGGTATTGTTATCTTGAGCTCAAACTTAAGAAGATATTTCACCTGTGATCATTTTTCATTAAGGGGTTTAAAGATTGCTAGTAAGGCCACTTTGGGACAATTGACGGGCGAAATATTTCGCGCTTTTTGATACGTAAGTGGAGATTTAATCCGTCTTAAAAATGAATCCAGCTTGGTTCAAAGAGGCAGGCTGTCATTATTGCTAGATTACTAGGAGCAAAATCTATCACTTTGTACTTGATACAGCGTGTCAGGGGATGATTTTCAGAAAAATATCAAACACTAAAAAAAATAAAAATTTGGAAAACAAAATGCACCATAGACCCCTAAAATTCTTCAGAACTTACATGAATAGTTTCTTATTATCAGTTAAAAATTTCGATTTTTTTAACTAAGCATTTTTGACGTAGTTTAAGAATTTTTTTGACTACTTTAATTCTACCTATACTATAGAAAAAAAAACGCAGTCAGATTATTCAGGGCTGTTTATTAAGTATGAAATGAAAATTTCACGTTTCTTTCTTCTTTATAAAATTTACTAACTATCTTTTTGCTCAAAACGAGACTGAAACGCTTTGATATGATATAACACTCGACCAATTCAGTTAAACTTTTGTGTTACCTAATTTTACCTGGAAAATAAAACAAGAAAAACACACCCGAAGACAAACTTTTTTACCCATTTTCAATATTAGAACAAAAAGGAGTGATCGAAAACTGATTTTTACTCCTAAAATTTCTAGATGAAAAAAAAATAACTTTAGCCATAGTTCAAAAAAACTCATTAAGTAAAACGTTTTTCCAATAATTTGTTCTTTTTTATGCAAAAAAAAATAGTTGGGAAACAAGATGTGAAATTTTTGGTCATTGAATGGCTCAATAATGTCGGAAATTGAAGCATACAAATAATTTATTTTAGTTAACCAGCCAGACAGGCCTAAGACGGAGGTTGGATATTTAGAGTTAAATAAGCTACCTTGTAAATTTCAGAGCACAGGCGATTTGAACCGGCAATCTTATCACTACCATCACTACCATCATAGATAAACTTATCCAGATAAATGGGGTACAACGTCGATCTTCTTAATTCCGAACAAAAACAAAGTGGCATTGATATAAAAGCAACAAAATTAAAATATTGGATGCTACCGTAGCAATATGGACGCTATCTCAACAATATAACAATGCTTTGGAAGGTGTGATGATTTACATTTTCAAAATCTCTTCATAATTTTCCGCCAGAAATTCATCTTCGAAAGTAGAAATTTTTATCGAGCTGTCGACATGATTGCTTTAGAATTGCCGAATAGTTGCGTTTTGCAATCTTTTAATCGTGAAACCAATAAAAATAATTTTTTGTGACTGTTTTTTTTAAAACTCTGAATCACACAAATTAATTTTGTCTTTGTACACCAGTAAACAAAGCTACGTGCAATTTCAGGATTTTACTCTCCAAAATGCCATCTTCCAATGTCCATTTCGGTTAACACATAATTCGATATTCAGTAAAATTCTTACATAGACCAAAAGCAAATAATCAGAGCTACCCTCTATGAAATTATCAGTGTTTGATTTTATTGACTCGCCACGTAATCCGGGTCTGAAAATGCCGGTGCGCCTCATTTACACTCTAAGTATCCTAGTGACATTTTTAGAATAAGCGGAGTAAAAAAGCTTTCCAAATATTGCAAGTTCTATAGAGGGTAGCTCTGACCAATTGTTCTTGATCTATGTAAAATTTTTACTGGATATTGAAGGATATGTTGTCCAAAATGTAAATTGCAAACAGGCATTTTAAAGAGTAAAATCTTGAATTCGCACGCAACTTTTGGTGAAACCTGTTTTTTCAAAAAAAAAAATGCTTGCGGCGCTAAATTTTTGATCAAAACATGGTTATTATAGTGTTCTGGGAGTGCTCGGAAAACAATTAAGTCAGGTTAGAAAAAAGGTAGATAAAAATTTTGAAAATCCACCCCCTTCAAGAAAATCCTAGATCCGCCCCCTAAAGTATATCATACCTATTATAGTTGCCTAACTGAACAACAAAATGATTTCAGAGATAATTTTGATACAAAGATGAAAATTGAGTGTTTTCCCAACTTTACCTGTGTCTCTCGATGAGTAACGGCAAGATTGGTGTGATAATTCTCCCTGTTCACAGCTTCAATTCCTTTGTTCAAACCTTGAAGTGCCGAAGATGATAACTCACATAAAGATCTCGGCTCCACGTAGTTTCGCAGAAATTTCACTTCGTCTGAACTTTCGTTGTTTTTCTTGCAACCCAAAAATGGTACCAAACTCAGTATTTTGACATTTTTTTCTTGTTTACTCACAGAGAAAAAAATAAAGAACAACAATAACTGCCATAAACAAAAGAGATACATTTTGCTTGCAAGGTAAGGAAAAGTTTTGGGTATAATTTATCAACAGGGAAGAATTGTCAAATCGAATTATCTTGGGTAAAATTTTCGTCGCAGAACGAATGAACTGGAACAATTTGGCATTTTAACAATCCAACTAAAAGCCCTGATGGCCGCGCATATTTTGAGAGACACTTTCTTCGAATTTTTTCGCTCCAGTAAATCACGGAATAAACGGATGGCTCTTTGTCTAAAAAGGCATTAAATTAGAAGTGAAATCCAAAAATGGATGCACGTTCTTAAGCAAAGAAATATTAGCATTTTTAAGGGTACTTTCTTGGTTTATGGCTAATAACCCTTACCTATCCCTTTAGACAATTCTTCAATTAAAACCAACGATCCGTGAAAAAAAAACGGCTAATTTTTTATATGTCTTCTGCAAGTTTGCCTGATAAAATGTTTTAAAAAAAGGGAATTTTGTCCTTGAGAATCGAACTAACATCATCTTATAATATTCAAATTGAATAATATGGGTATATATAAGATAAAATTTGCAAATGTTTTGCTTCCTGTATTTTTAAATTCTAACCAGCTTGTTTGAATTCATAATTATTCATTAATTCATTATGCAAAAGTCAGTTTATGTCTGTCCAGGAAATTATTTCTGCTTCGAAAATCAGTCTGAAAATTGCTTTCTTTGCAATCTCATTGATTAACTACTGACATTTAAAGTACCCTTGAGTTGAATTTCTGAAGGCTAAGGAAAATTTTCCGGGGATAATTACTTCTTTGGATATTTCAATCATGCTACATGACTGAACATTTACATAGCACTCTGAACAAAAACTAGTCCAATAATGTAAACTTGAAATTAGGAACAGTATGAATGAAATGAAATTTGATCAAAGAATTAATCAAAAAGTTAGCTTCTTCTAAAGCAAGAGTATAATTTACCAGAAGTAAGGAGCGTGATAAAAATGTAATCAGACTCAAATTTCCACTAAAAAGTCTTTCAAATGTTTTTTAAAGTCAACTTATTTTGTAAAAATAAATTGACATACAGCTTGGCCGAAATAACTATTTTTGTTACAACTTACTTCTTGTGTGTCCTAATTTTTTGCTTCCAAACACGATTGAAGAACAAATTTCGTATTATCAGATATCCGAGGACTTTTTTTGAAATTACCAATAAACATCTATGTTCTCAATCAGTTTTGAGCTTTTCAATACATTTTGAGCTTTTCAAAAAAAAAATTCAATTAACTTGCTTTAGAAAAGTTCATTTTTTTAAGAGGAAAACACAAGTCAATTTTCCTCACAAATCGAAAAGTTGAAAAAAAATCAAAATAGAAATTCTCTCCATATAAAGAGAATCGAAGAATAAGCCACACTGATTTCACGTGATAACTCTCACACAATAATCCTCTGATTGAGATAAATGGTTATAAAGGCTTATAAATGGTTATAAATGGGTTAAGTGCTTTAATCCACCATCGGGCAAACGCATAAATAATGGTCAGAAATCGGGAAGAAAGGTAAAAATTAGACGAAACTTGTCACTTCAAAACTCAATTTGAGAGTTTTTCAGCCTCTTTTAAATTCAAAATAGGACCTTGATTTTCTCTGATTTTCACCATTTTTGTAAATATCGCAGTCGTTGCTAAACTGATTTTTCCTTGAATAATTTCCAGGATTGGTATTGGTTGTTATAATTTATAACTAGAACCCGCGTCAAATATTGTTGGACTAAATTGTAAATTCTAGCAAGCAGCTTGTTCATACGTCAAATTGTTGTTCCGGGATAACTGTTCATACCAAACAGTGATTATTTGGTTGCAATAAATGGAAAATTTCTCAAAAATTTGTCCAAAAATAATTTATTGCCGGATAAAACTTTCGTCCAAAAGATTAAAGTTTATAACTAAAATGACGAAATAGGGATTAAATCTGTTTAAAAATGGCAGGAGGTAGTTTGTACATAAACAGAAAATGAACGTTTCGATATGTCAGTTTATTGCAAATCTTAAAATCGCAAATATTACTCTGATCTAGGAGTTCCTCAGTTGCTTATCCTGTTGATTTGTATTGAGATTGAAGTTTGCTGCACGGTACAGTTGCCAAAAGATCTTGCCAGTTTGTAGGCTTTCTCTAGCCAGTTTGTAGGTTTTAACTAGAAAACTCAAGAAAATGCAGGCAATTTTAAAAATTGATACAGGTTTTAGCAAAGTTTAAGAGACAGCTTAAAACGAGGAACATTATAAGATAAATGAGAGCTTCACATAAACCAAGGTCGGTCGGAAAACCCAATTATTCCAAACAAACAAATATTTCCAACAACAAGTGTATCCGGGTTGACCAAAAATGCTTATCATAGAATTTTTATATATGAAAAAATGTTAATCATACAATTTCGTACAATTCCATCGATACAGAAAATGTAAAGAAAACTCTAAGCTAAGCATTTTTTTCATATATGGAAATAGTAGGAGAAGCAATTTTTCATAAATCAAAAAGTTGATTTTTTTTAAATTTTGTTTCTCAAAATATTTAGGATATGTTTGTGACCCAACACAAGTGACTAAAACCATGTCTTACTCAAAACTAGAGTTACCAAAAGGTTGATCGTCTGGCATTTACAATGTATTGGAAACGACCTGAATTTTGTAAAAGTTCTCTTCACAAATCATTTACTAAAAGAATCAAATTTTTAAATTTTTGGCAAAAATTTTCAAAGATGATTGTTTTTAAGAATAAAACTTTCAAATTATAAGGCATTGAAAAGAAATACAAAAAAATAAGAGTTTTTAGCCTGTTTGAAAAAAAAATTTCCAGAGAAACGGAAAAAAATTCACCTTTGTGTATCTAGGACTAGGTTCTAAAGACAAAAAAAAATAAAATTTCCAAGCAAACTTTTTTTAGAAAATGATTGTTTGAATACAAAATTCGATTTGCAGTTGAAAAAAAACAAAAAATTTTTGGGCCAATTTAAACATTACTTGGAAAAATTGTTGCTGTCGCCATCAAAAAAATGCTAGTCATACAGTTTTATTATATGAAAATTGTATGATATTTTTTTCCTAAAACAAATTAGTTTTTTTTTATCACCAGATTATTTTATTTGGTTCAAATAGCCGCAAAAAATAGTTCGAATCTTTTTTCAACGATTTTTTGAAAAATCGTATGACTACGATTTTCCATACATTTGATGTATATAATTGTATTACAAGCATTTTCGGTGTATGGAATTGTAAGACATTAAATTTCGGTTTATGGAGGTCAACCCGGGTAGTCATTAAACCACCACCTTCAAACACAGCACCTACCTCCCATCCATTGTCGCGAAAAGGTAGCTAGATCGGTGTCGGACCGTAACTAACTTACTTTACCGCATCTAAGTTAAGAAAAAAAAATCATTTTTAATTGATTTTTTTGAATAAAATTTGTCAATTTAATCGATTCCTCTGTCGCCCTCAGACAACAAAATGGATCAAAAACTGATTATAATCCATTGTTTTATTAAGCTTAAGCCTAATTTTAAAAATTCAAAATCAAGTTTTTTTTTTCATTTTACTTTTGTTTTGGGTCATGCAAATTTTTGCATCCTGCAAATTTTTGCATCATGAGTAATGCAGAGTTTTTGCGAAACGATGTGACTGTACGGCATACACAATTTCTAAACCTACGCCTTCTCAAGCTGAGAAAGGTTCCACCCACCTTCCCCGCTATAGTTTGCTGCTTGCCCCCAACATGCCCCGAAAGTATAGGCTTTTTTGACGAGATTGCAGAATCAATTTGTTTGACATAAGCCTGTTGCCGAAATTTTCAGTTTTTTTTGAAACTCAGCCTTCCACTCGAGAAAAGCTTCGGTCAACTCCTGCATACTTGCACACATACATACATGCATCAATGCATTCTAAATTAACTTCTCCAACTGTTAACCCCTCCACTCCCCAAATTTCTAATTGAATTAATAAAATTGTTGAACAGAGTACGAGAAAACAAATCAAATTTGCGCTCAAAAAGGTTAAAATTGAAAATCAGATAGCCAATTTTAGTTTAAAACGGGAAAAACCGTTGTTTTGGTGCAGTTTTTGAAACATTTTGACTAAAAAATCGCGTTTTTTGACGCGCGCTCTATCTTAAAATTAGCATAGATTGGCGCCAAAATCGATTTTAGATAAGTTTTAGAATCAATTGGCAAAAATGAGGTAGTTAATTAGTGCCAAATGAAGAATCTACTGGGTGATGAGGGGTTCAAACCCCTGCAAGTCAAAAAGTTAATTTTGCAAATAAAAAACTCAAAACTGCCGGTTTCCTAGATTTGAATTTTCGATATTAGGATTTCAGACTGGCCAAATTCATTTCACAGTCAACGTGAACTAATCGTTAGACAAGTATTAAAACAAAATAGGGTATGATCGAATCGCCAACTGCTAAGCACAATTGCCCAGTGCGAAAATTGTTTAAGCCGTCGGCTAATCTTGCCGATAAGAACAAAATATTTAAGAATCTTTGAAATTAAACAAAAATAAGCACCGATTGAAACCCTGACTGCTTTTTCATTTTCATTGCTTTCTGCTTTTTCGAATACTCCAATACTTCTTGTTTAACTAATTTTACGAAAAAAAACTAATAGTTAATCTATGATATACCTAACGAATTTAATCAATGTTTAAATAACTGTTTTTCAGGTATGATTAATTCGGCTAACTTACCTTTTGGTTTGTTGCCTGGTTTCCTCTAGTACTATTTTTGTGACTGCAGACGGTTTGCGTTTTCTTTACAAAAAATAAACAGACTTCACATATTACAATACCAATCAATTAAAAGTGACCACAGCCATGTTTTCCTGCATAACAGATTGCCTAATAAAAGTGGAAAACCAAAACAGTCTTTCAAAACAAGGTTTATTCTTTCATTCACAAGTTCATGAATTTCCCGAAAATTAAATTTTGCGAGACTTTTATTTAAAAATTCACAACTTTGAATAAAACTTCTAGAACCAAGTTAACACCCCCCCCCCCACCCCTAATCTACTTGAGGAGGGAGAATATTAGCTTGGTCAAAAATTTTCATCTTCTAATGACATAAAATGTCAAAAAATAAACAATTTTTGATCAATAGTGAAGCTGAATACAAATTAAAAGTCACAATTAGGTGAAAATCAGACATTTGTAGTGTCTCGGAAACATAATTCAGCAATAAATTTCCGTGATTTTTCCTGCCATTTTTGGAAATGTCTGGACATATGCCTGCTCATGTGTTGCTAGGAGTGGATTTGTTTGGTTTATCTAACCTTCAATGAATAACGGCTTTTAACTGTTTTAACTTTTGCTAACAAGTTCATTGTCGCGAACCGCAAGTTCAAATAATCTAGATCTAAGCTGAGATTATCAAAATTTATGTCTCGATATTTTGACGAACTGGTTCATTGATGATAAAGACCGAGAAAAAATAATATAACAAAAAAACATCCGATTTTTGGAAGTTCAGTATAGAATCTTAGCTTCCATAAGATTCAAAATTTTGAAATCCTAGCTCACGGTCTGCACAATTTACTTGATCATTTTGTCCCTTTTCTTCCATTTTTTCGTTATGATTTTTTCATTTTCCTTTTTTATGACGAAATGTATAATAATTTGAAGAAATTTTTTTGAAAGTTCAGGTTGCGAGATTCTTTACATCAATTTATTCGTCGTAACGTTCTTCGTCTTAAGTTTCCTTCGCTTCTCTGAACACTTAACAGGAAACTTTAAAATACCGTAGGCTAATCCTAAAACCCTTTTCAGGACAGTCCCGGCTCAAATAGTTAATAACCAGTCGGAAATTATAGTCAATAAAACACCCAGTTTACATGGCTAAGGTGCGCAACGAAAAAGACAAACAATTAATACATGAGCTGAAACGGATTTCATGTACAGTTTTTTTTGCAATCTTTTGCTTTAAATGCTGAAAAACAATAGCGTAAAGTTTTTTTAATTTTCTGCTTATTTGTTTTTAGTTTTACCTGCCATCTGTTTATTCACTGTATTTTTCTTTCAGTTCTTCAAATTTTTCTAATTCAGTGCTGATTTAAATCATCCGTACAAAATGAACAAACTTGAATTTTCAAACACGTTTTTTCTCAACTTGGGTTAAGATTAGACACAAAGTGAAGAGAACAAAAGTTGCTTAGAATTTCATCAGAATTAATATTTTCCCCCCAAAAATCTCAACCAAAATTTTAACCCGACTCTCGGTTTTTTTCAATTAATCATTTCGGTTGGCTCATTTCGTTTTTTTTTCAATTAATCAAGAATTACTCTGAAACTACTTTGTTCATGATAAGGAAGAAAAAAATCACAAGAAGTCTCTCACACAGACCAACAAAGTTCTAGAAGGGTAAAATTTCCAAAAATTTGCTCAAATTGTGTACAATTTACTTTTAAGCAAAGATTCTGGGTTTTTTTATAGTAAAAGTTACCTTTATTGACTATCAAGTAAAAAATTTTTTTCTTATACAGGTTTTTAGAGATTTAACCCTTCTAGAACCTTGTTGCGCTGTGTAAGAGGCTTCTTGTGATATAGTTTTACTTCTGGTGAAATTCTAAGCAACTTTTATTCTTTTCACTTTTTGTCAAATCTTAACCCAAACTGAGAAAACGCGTTTGAAAATTCAAGTTTTGTTCGTTTTGTCCGGAAAATTTAAATCAGCACTGTATCTTTGGCCACCAATAAATATTTATAAGCAAAACTTAAATATTGGTATGAAGAGACCTTTATTTTTTTCATTCTGGCTCCTGGTCTTTTCT